ACATCACGTCATTTTACAACATCGTCAGATCTGGCTCACCTCTTCCAATAAATGACTAATTCTATAAGGACCAGGTCTTAGCTGATTCATGGCAATATATCCATGCCTTGTGGTTTGATAAGGCTTGAAGACCTTACCTTCTGCCAAATTCACATCCACAGGTGTCACTCCCATGTTTAAAAGCCCTGCTGTTGTTAGAGTCCGGGCCAGAGCTACCCCCCTCCGGGACATTATGGTGCGAGCCAGTCAACCCCCAGAAAACAACAAAGAGCCTCGCTGGTAATGCAAAAAGCAAACAGTTTATTGTGCCAGCATGCTGGGGTCAGATCACACTTGGGGCGCACAGGCCAGCCAAGCGGATTGGACCCCGAATTAACATAAGGCTGGAGATTATATACCCTGTTTTGGCTGTAACATATATCAAAGTCAACTCAAAAGTAACAAATTTAGACTTATGGTGCAAGCAGTCTATTCCGTTCTCACACTCATTATTTATGCTCCCACACTTATTGTTTACGGCTCATCCCATCCTGGCACCCTTATCTTTATGGCTCCTCCAGTCCCTGGGACCAGGGAACTGTGCCCCTACCTTCCTGCACCCGGGTTAGTTGATAGATAAGGTTACAGAGGACCAAAGGACAGATTTATTGCTAACGTGTTTTCCCACAGTTCAGGCACCTCCTGACCTAGCAAAGCAGCGGCTCATTGCCACAAAGGACCTAATATCGCCTAACGCTAATATTCTAACATTCTAACATACTAACATTATACCAACACTCTAACACTCTGTTTTACATGCAGCTTACCCTGCTCTGTTTTATGTGCAGCTTACCAAACAAAGAAACATGTGCTGTGTGCCCAGAACACCCTGCTGATCCCTGCCCTGCAGCTGCTTTCCAGCCCGCAGCACAGGCTGACCCTGCAGCATCTCATTGGAGACCCATCTGCCTTCCTAAAGGGCACAGGGTAGCTGGTGGGTGGAGCGGTCAAGAGGCTCCTAGGAGAAATGTTTGGGTGTAATCCCGAAGAGTGAGCCGGCAGGAAGCCTGCAGCTCCCCTCCCCTCAGCACCCTACCCCCAAGGAGGTGGAGGAGGAGGAGGAGTGATATTATGGATTGGTCAAATGCAAGAACACTGGAGCTGGGGGTGGGGACTTCAGAGTAAAAATCCAGGGGGTTAAAGGTTGGTTCCAATCTGGGGCGGCTCCTGTCAACCTCTTCCCTCTCAGACACGCAAGGTAAGACAGGGGCTTGGGCTTCCCCCTCCTGGGAGGGAGGTGCCTTTATCCCCTCCCCTTCAAGCACCTGAGATCCAGATGGAGGCACAGAGGAAAGGGAGCAGGATACTAGCTCCTGTCCAGGGCAGCCCCCGGGGCGGGAGCCGCCCTCTGGGGTCTGGGACTGAAGCCCTCACAGGTAAGAAGGCTCTTGTGCCATCTTCTGTGCACATCCCACTCCCCGGGAATACCCTGGGGATGTAGGCGGCCATCAGGGGACCCAGGACCAGCCAGCCAGGCATCAAACCAGGAAAGGAGCAAAAAGAGAAAAGAAGGGGACATTCTAAGCAGACTAAGACCAGCGAGCAGTGTGGGGCAGTGAGCGTCCTGGGCAGTGAGCACCCTGGGCTGCGGCTGTGGCAGGAGGGGTACACAGATGCTTGTGTTCTGCCAGGTGGGCTGAGAAGCCGGACTCACCCACACAGTCCGCTCCACAAAAGTCCTGAGGGTCTGGGACTGGGACACTAAGGTGCGAGATCTGGGGCTCCTAGAGGGGTACTCTGAGGAAGAGCGGATCCAGCACAGAGCTGGGGATGAGACCCAGAGCTGCCCAGCTGGCACAGCAGCCAGAAACAGTCAAGCCTCAAGAAAAGGGCCTGGCCCCACATGCCTTTTCTGAAAGTTGCCTGGAGCAGTTTTATCAAGGTAAAAAAAAAAATGCAAGTTTCCTTGACTTATGAAGGCAAAGATCATTTTTTTCTCCCTTCTAGAAATGGTTTGCGGGGGCAGGAGAAGGGAAGAGGGGGAAGAAGGCTTTAACTTGGTGCACTGGTGCTCACGGCATTCTCTTCCTATTCTCCTGAGTGTTAACTTCCTCATCTCAATGAAACTTAGGGGGTTTACTTCCTCATGAATGGAGCTAGACTCAAACCCAGTAACTCAGAGCCTGAATCCTATGTTCTTATTCTTTCTTTCATTGGAAAACCCAAAGTACTGCCTGCCCCAAATGAGCCAGGCATGGGACTGTGCCCCAGGTAGAGCAATAGAGAAAGGAGCCCTGTTCCCCAACTTCCACTCCTCCCAGGACACCACACCCCAAAACACAGCATGTGAAAAGAAAGCGAAATTTATCTAATCTTTCTAGCAGGTACGCAGTGATGGCACTGGTTTCTGCAAGGTTCTCCCACTTGTTTTGTTTGTTAGCAAGGCACAGACAGATATTTGAACCTTGGCCTGCTGTCTCCCGGGTGTGCATTAGCAGGAAGCTGAAGGCAGGAGCTGGGCCCCGACTCATACCTACATACCCAGATCTGGGATGCAGATGTCCCAAGTGGCATCTTAACACCCACCCTGCTGCCTGCCTTTTTCTTGTCTTCTCACCAGCAACAACCATCTCTCAGGTCAAGGATCCCCTGCATTTGTGGTTCATGTTCCTAATGCCTCCTTTGTGCCCAGCCTGTCCCTGGATGGTACCACACAGCACTAGAGGAAAGTTCATTAAAATTAACACTTTCTGGGCATAAGCTGCTCCATCTAGAAAGGCTTATGGAGCACAGAAGCAAGAAATGCAGCCATCCAGCAACCATGTAGTAGCACCCTGATCATCATCATATCAAAGCTTACAATGTGAAATTCTTTTTATAACCATTAGCATTTAGTTTTCAGAGTAACCCCTAAGAGGTGTGTATAAAAGAGCTTAAATCAACTTGCTCAAGAGGTGGAAACAACCTGGGCACCCAGCATTTCCTACCACCACTGCAGGGCCCTGGGAAGAGGACGGTGGCCAACCCGGAGCAAACCCCTGTGCCCCGAGGACTGTCCATCACAGACAACTGTTCCCGTTGAGTCCCAAGAAAGCTTCCCCAAGACTATGCCTTTTCAAGTGGCCCCAGGGGGTGAATAGACAAAGAGTGGATGTTGAATTCAACAGTTAGGGCACCACTTAGGCCACGTGCATCCTACCTGAGTGCCGGATTCAGATTCCGGCTCCTCCACTTTCAATGCAGTTTTCTGCTATGTACCTCCTGGGAAGCTGAGACTGGCTGATAGATATTGAGAAGTGAGTGAGCCAATGGGAGAGTTCTCTATCACTCTTTCTCTGTGTCTTGCTGCTTTTCAAATAAAGTGAAAAATTTAAAAATAATTTTAACAGATTTGTGGAACACAGAATTTGAAGTTTGGCTTTTTTTTTGTTTGTTTGTTTAAGAGGAAGAAGGATGTTTCTGCAAGCAGAGGAATACGCAGTGGAAAGTTCCAGGCTAGGACGAACTCTGGCAGCGCAGGGCTGTAACCTGGCGGATGGCCAGCTGGGTTGGTCACACGATGTTGCATTGCAATTCACACAGTCCAGAGCCTTCTACCAGAAGGCCGGTCTGAGAGCAGCATGGCAGGCAGCTGCTTCATTTGCTCAGTCTGCTGCTAAAGGGGATGACATATCTGCTAGACAGAACTGGCCAATCTGGGGCAGGCATGTGACACAACGCTGAACCTCAGGACACTGGCATCCTATGCCAGCATGCCCATCTGGGTCTCAGCTGTCTCCTCCCAATCCAGTTCCCTCTTCCTGTGCCTGGGAAGGCAGCAGAAGATGGTCTGACGAGTAGGATCCTTGCCACTCACGTAGGAGACCCAAACAGAGTTCTTGGCTCCAGCCTTTAGCCTTGTCCAATGCTGGCTGTCTTGCACACATCTGGGGGAGTGAATGAGCAGAGGGAAGATGTGTGTGCACAAGTGTGTGTGTGAGAGAGAGAGAGAGATGAATCAAATAAATATGAAAAAAAAAAAAGATCATTCTAAAATCTCAGGTTGCCGAAAGAGAACAAAAGGAAACCAAGGTGGGGTCAGGAAGGAGAACAAAGGGCAGGGGCCCCTTCATGCTGCTTCCTGGTCAGTTGATAAAGGCCTGGTTGGCTGGAGACATAGGCACATCATAAACCTATCCTCTGATCATGGTGACCAGGGGAGGCCCAGATTACTTTACACCTCAGCATGCTTCTGCAAGAGCTATTTCTGGGATCCTCAAAAAAAAAAAATTTATCTGAAAAGTTAAAGATAAGTCAGCTTCGGTAGTCAGAAATTACAGTTTGGTTAAGCAAAAGAGAGGATGCCAGGTCGTGGGTGTCACCTGCTAGTGGGCCATAGGACTGGCACACGCCAGTCCCACAGGGCAGGTGCTGACCCTTAAACCTAGCTGAGAACATGCAGCGGTCTCAACTGATGCGCTGTGAGGTGCAGTTTTAAGTGCTGAGGTCAGGATTCTAAGGGGTCACAGCCATACTCCGGCCTTGTACTTGCATCACAGGGCAACCTGGAAAGGATCCGGGTTGACCAGGGATGGGGAAGAGGGAATAAACAGGAGGACGTGATGCTGGGTCAACAGAAGAGGAGTGGATCCAGCTAAGGTGGGTGGCAGAAAGGGGCACGGGGCTTCCAGAGGTGTATCTGATAGATGTTGGTACCAGGGTGGGGGTTGGGGGTCCTGGACCCACAAGCAGTTGGAGACTGAGGCTTTGCACATGCTAAGCCTGCCCATCCTGGGTACCAAGGCGTAGGGAACGGCAGGAGGCAGCGAGACACTCAGACCTGAAGGGTAGAGGGTTGCTTCCAGACTCCAGAAGACCTGGGATACTTCGGCGACTGCTCCCATTTTCTGTCTTGTCTTACCTCAGGACAGCAGAGTCGAGAAGGTGCTGGGGCTAGAGCTAGGACAGACTTGAAGGGGCAAGGGTGGTCACGAAGGTCAAAGACAACACCAAGCTTACCGGGGACTCGGTTTCCTCTGCAGATGGCTTTGCTCTGCCGCAGGTACAGCACGTTCCAGATGCTGGCCTGCTTTCTGCTCGGTTTGGGGTTCCTGGCGCTGCATCTATCGCTCCAGCAAGCCTCGAGGACCCAGCCAGAGGACCCCATAGACGGCACTCCTGCCACTGCTGTGCAGCCGCAGGTGACCCACAAGGAGCCCCCGTGCGTGGCCAACGCCTCTGCAAACACCGGCGCCGACTTCCAGCAGCTGCCGGAACGGATCCAAGACTTCATGCTCTACCGACACTGCCGCTACTTCTCATTGCTGTGGGACGCACCGTCCAAGTGCACTGGCCGCCGGGGCGTCTTCTTGCTGCTGGCCGTCAAGTCGTCGCCCGCCAACTACGAGCGACGCGAGCTCATCCGGCGCACGTGGGGGCAGGAGCGCAGCTACGGAGGTCGGCAGGTGCGCCGCCTCTTCCTGCTGGGCACGCCGCCGCCCGAGGCCGGGGAGAGCGCAGCTCAGCTAGCAGAGCTGGTGGCGCTGGAGGCGCAGGAGCACGGCGACCTGCTGCAGTTGGAACTTCACCGACACCTTCCTGAACCTCACGCTCAAGCACGTGCGCCTACTCGACTGGCTGGAGGAGCGCTGCACACAGGCACAATTCGTGCTCAGCGGCGACGACGACGTCTTTGTGCACACAGCCAACGTGCTCCGCTTCCTGGAGTCACAGGCGCCCGACCGCCACCTCTTCATCGGGCAGCTAATGGACGGCTCCGTGCCCATCCGCGACAGCAGGAGCAAATACTTTGTGCCCCCGCAGCTCTTTGCAGAGCCTGCCTACCCGGTGTATTGCAGCGGCGGCGGCTTCCTGCTGTCCAGGCATACTGCCCAGGCCCTGCGTGCCGCCGCCCGTGACACCCCACTCATCCCCATTGATGATGCCTACATGGGCATGTGCCTGCAGCGCGCCGGCTTGGCCCCCAGTGGCCACAATGGCATCCGCCCCTTTGGCGTGCAGCTGCCTGGCTCCCACCATCCCTCCTTTGACCCCTGCTTTTACCGCGAGCTGTTGATCGTGCACCGCTTCGCGCCCTACCAAATGCTGCTCATGTGGAAGGCGCTTCACAGCTCAGCGCTGAGCTGCAGCCGCGGACACCAGCTGTCCTGAAGCCACGGGGGGCTGCGCTGGGCCCCCAGCTTGCCTGCCTCCATACCGGGGAGGGAGTTTTCCCGTGCTGAGAGCATGCCTGACCTGCACTCTGTGATTTGGACTCTTGGCATGGGCATCTGAACCTCGGGTGCACGTTGAATGACTTCGGGGACAGGGAGACAGGGCGGAAAATACCTCCGCCCTGGCCCTGTCTTCAGAGTCTCTGACGTTATTGGCCCCGGGGTGGCCCCAGACAGGTAGGTGGCTTTTATTTAAGTTCCTTGGAGATTCTAATGCGTTGCTAGATTTAGGCACCACGAAGCTAGGAGAGCTCGTTCATTCTTGCAGCCCAGCTCCAGGGCTCCTGCCACGGGCCTTCCTGGCACCTGACTCCCAAGCTCACTGATCATAGGCAATCGAGCAAGAAAAGTATAGTGCCTGGGATCCGTGTCACCTGCCAAGTGCTATTCCCATCCTTGCCTTCTCCCAGGGGAACCCAAGACCCCCTCAGGGCAATAACCCTCCAGGGAACCTACGGCCACCACCAGGTAGCATGCCCACTGTGGTCACCTGCACACTCACCCTGACCAGAGCTAGCTACCTGTGCCCACCAACACTCACTCGTGAAGGGCTGAGACTGGCTCCTCGCCAGGACCTCAAGGCCACTCAGCCTGGGAGAGCCAAGGTGGGTGTGGGAAGTTGTAGGGGGTGTGGCAGAGTCCACGGGATGCTAGGGAGGGAGGGCAGTGTGTGGAATGTGTTGGGAGCTGGGGTCATGTGATGAGTGGCTGTGTAAGACAAGGGTTAGGGAGTGTGCAGGTGGGGCTGGAGCCCAAGTGCAGGACCAGGATTGGCAGGCTGGGAGGGCCATAACTGGGGCCTGCAGGGCCAGTGTGGGCCTGACCCCCAGCAGCCACCAGTCACCATGGCCCAAGTAGAAGTCCAGGAAACAGCAAAAGAGCAAAGCAGCAGTCCCAACTGTGTCACGTGGATATGAGAAACTGAGCCTGGACAGGAAGTTAGGAGACTGACCAAGTGCCCTCCTCGCCTGCCTCTTGGCAAAGCTCAGACTGCATAGCCCAGCACTCATGCCCCAGCTGCTGCTCGCCTCCCGTTGTCCTTCTGTGGGACTCTGGCCAGGCAAGGTCAGGCTCTCTGCCTTCGGGCTCTCACTCCAAGATCAGCCACCAGCACCGTCCGCATCTCCTGTAGCAGGGAGGCTGCTAGCCGGCCACCACATCCCTGCCCCGCCTGTCTTTGCCAACATCTCCCCACAGATAGGGGTGCCCGCCAGCAGATGGGGAGCACACTCCGGTCCCCTCTCCCCTAGTCACCAGTGTCACTCCCAGACCATGACACCCATAAATCTCCCATCACGGCTTGCCAAATGGTGCTCTGGTGGGCAGACACCCCCAGAATGTACCCATGGCATAAGGTGAGGCAGGAAACCAAGAGGCTTACAGAGTACCACCCCCCCCCACACACACACACACACACAGCTGTGCTGCCCTGAGCACCGGGGCTGGGATATTCAGCTCAGCCTTCCCTGGGAGTTTGCCCACACTCTGTGTCCACAGCCTTGGCCTCCTGGTGCTTGGTCAGACCCAACACCGCCAGGGACTAGATGGCCGATGAGCAAGACTCTTTATAACAGGCGGCTGGAAGTCCACGGTCACTCAGTATCTGCTATGGGCTGCTCCTTTTTGCCTCCAGTGTCCTCCTGTGGTGGAAGGGGGCGGAGCGGGGGCTGCTTTCATAAGGGCTCGAATGTTGTGTGCCCTCCACCTAGCTCCCCTAAAGGGTGTGGGTTCCACACACAAGCCGTGGGGGAACATAAATGTCTAGATTATCACACTGAATAACCCAGTGTGTATTGTTTCTATGAGACACACAGAGACAGATTGGGCCAGGCCGAAGCCAACAGAGTTCAGTCAGATTCTCTCAAGTGAATGGCAGGGCCCCAGTGACAGACCTTGCCTCCAAGGGTCTGTGTTGGCAGGTGCTCTGGCAGTGAGACGTGGGTGTCCTTATCAGCCTGCCCCTAATGCGGCCCCCTGATCTCCGTTTCTTCCCAACTAGCCCGACTGCTCTCAGACGGACAAATCCTGCCTTAGCCTGCACGACTGATTTCAGGGTGAGCGCACTTGGGAAGGTTGGCCGTGAGCAGCCGGAGAGGCCCAGTCCCCTTTAAGGCCAGCGCCACTCTGACCACACCCGACCCGCCCGACAAGAGAAGCTCATCAGGAAGGCTCAGACCCCCAGGAAACGGTCCCAGAGACCCCGGACAAGCGTGGTGAGGAAGACTATCGCCGAGAAATGGAGACACTTTGCCCGTTACACCAAGAACAGATGCGACCCTTTGGGACCAGTCCTTTATTGAATGGAACGCTAAGTTCCTTAGCGATTTCCACATTGCCCACTAGGGGGCGGTCTTCCTCTTCCAGAATTAACAGTCTACTTGGAAAAACCCAGGGACCTTGGAGATGAGTAAAAGAAAAGAAACCCATCCTTTCAGAAAACCCATGTGCAGCCCCTGTTTCCCAGCACAGGACGGGAACGTCCCAAGCACGACCTTATTCGCTGCTACACCAAACATCTTTCCCAATTTAATTCCTATACAAACAATTGGGAAGAATCGTTTTTTAAAAAGCACCACTTACAGTAAAAGCCGAAAGAATATTATAAAGTTACAATCTAGATAGGAAATCATCTTAAAAGTTACAATATATTTTGGGGCTAATGTTGTGGCACAATGGACATCCCATATGAGCATTGGTTCCAGTCCCAGCTACTCTACTTCCAATCCTGCTCCCTGCTGATGTGCCTGGAAAAACAGCAGAAGGTAAGCCCTTGCTTGGACCCTGCATCCATGTGAGAGACCCAGATGAAGCTCCTGGCTCCTGGCTTCAGCCTGGCTGGGCTCTGACTGGTGGAGTTAATTACTGGATGGGGAATTCTCTTTCTCTCTTTTTCTAATTTTGCCTTCCATGTAACTTTTTGGGGGAAAAAAGTTAAAATAAAAAATGTTTTAAAACACACACATTAACATGGACATAAGATGTTAACAATGTCTCTAAGCCCTTGGGTTCTCCAGGTCCTCACCCAGACAACAACCAGAAAACAGGGAGTGTCATCTCCATTTGACAGGTGGGGAGACTGAGACCCAGGGAGGGAGGCACCTGTCCAAGGTCACCGTGGACAGAGTTCAGGCATCCTGTGTGCCTTTCCTGGGTACCACCCGCTTCCCCCACCACCACACCTACCATCCGCCCCGGCCTGGGGTTCAAAGGCCACCACTTGGCTACCTAGTCACAAGGGCACTCGTGGGCATTGTGTCTCCCACTGGATCCCAGTGTCCAGGACACTTCGACAACAACAACATGTTAGAAAGACAAGACACACCCAGGACAAAGCCACCGGAGAGCTGGAGCCCTTGGAGACCAGAGGTGACGCGCCAGGCAGGATGGAGGGCAAAGTACAAAGGGGAAATCCTGCCTCAGTTTCCCCCAGTCCAGTGTCCCATCCACCACTCCACCCAAGTCCTAAAGGATGTCTCCCCCTCCCCAGGAGAAAGAGGGCCCAGATTGGTGCAGAGGCCAGTCCAGCAACACGTGGTGGGTGGGAAACAGAGCTAGGTGCCCAGGGAACTGCCAGTCGGACTACAGCCCCAGGGCAGGGCTTGCATCTCAGGAATCCTGCGAGGGCTCATACGGCAGCAGAGGTTCCTGGAACAGAGCTGCTTGTCTTCACAAAGAAGAAATACAGATGTGAGGCAGGAAGCAGGGCTAGGGGAGGGAGCAAGGTCACCAGGGGTCGGTTGGCATCTGTCAGAAAGAATGGGCACCCTGCAGACAGAACCCAAGAGTGAGCGCGCCCCCTCAGTTCCAACTGGGGAGGGCAGGGTTCCACGGTCTAATGAAGGAACAGCCCCCACTTCTGTCACCCGGCAGGTCAAGTGGGTGACTTGGGTGACTGCTGAGAGCTGAGTGCACAGTGTATGTCCAGCCTGGGGTGGGGCCCACAAAGGAGCAGAGCTGCTTCTTCCCAAAGCTCCTTCTCCGCCTGCCCTCTTCCCTGGACAAGGGGAAGCAGGTGCAGCTCCTCCTCCCATTGTCTTTAGACTGGGGAGCACAGGGCAGACTCCCTCTGGGGCACCTTCCTTGGGGACAGGCTGGACTGCCCTATAACATTATTGAGGGGTCCAGGCAGGACTTGCAGCCTCCAAGACTGCCACGGGCTGCTGTGTTCCTTTATCACAGGTGTTTTGTTTTCCTTAAGCACCTCCCACAGCACAGGCGCATTTCCAACTTTCTGCCCACACCAGCACCTGCGTTGGTTTGCAGGGGCTCCATGAGTCGTCTGGGTGAAAGGCGCTCCGGCCATTAGCAGCCCAGCAAAACAAAGAGCTCCATGGGTGTGGCCTAACCCAGGGCTGGGCTGTCTTCCTTGCTGGACAAATTCTGACCCTCCCGGGGCCCTTAGCTCTCTGGTGAGCGTCATCCTCCAGGCCCTTGGGGTGCAGCAGGCAAGGCCACTGGGCATTGGGGGTGATGGGGTCTGAGGGGCAGTAAGGTGGTTAGTAAGAGTGGACAGGTGCACAGCCTGGCAGAGGCAGAAGTGGAGGGGAAGATAAGTAAAGTGAGGGAGGAGCTGAGTGGACAGGGTGGGGTGAATTGGATGGCAGGGAGGGGCAGCAGAGGGGAGTGAAGGGAACAGGAAGTGGCCTTGGCCCTCAGGGGGTGCTGGGCCCGGTGCTGAAGGGGATAGGGGTGAGCAGGGATGGGGCCCTCCTGGTGGAAGAAGGCTGGAATCTTTACACAGTCAATTCGAAGAGGCCTTTCTCTTTGGCAGTCGCTTAGCGCCCCCTTGTGCACACTAGCTCACTCAGCTGCTCCTCCAAGTAGCAAGTAGCAGTATGTCCATTGTTCCCAGCCTTTTGCAATTAAAAAACGGCCTGACGGGCAGGCGCAGTGGTGAGAGCCCCAGTTAGGACACCCGAATCCCACGTCAGATGCCCA